TGTAAATGAGATGTGCCTATTGGTTTGACAATACGGACACATCGTTTGAATATAATTATTCCCGTAATATTTGTTCTTTCTTTCTTTCGGAATTCTATCTCCGAGGTAGTTAACGAGATCGTTCAACACAAAAACAACTAGTTGAAAAAAATCAAGAAGAGTTTTGCGTGGGCCTACATTAGGGGATATTGTTGTCCGTTATTAAGACAAGTTCAAAGTTTTATTATGATCTGTTTACCGAACCCACTTCGAAAATCGATGCGTGTATCTTAGACGAGTCAAGCGTTGGCTGAGTGCCATAATCGCTTAAGCATTTTCCATTCGGAATTTTCCACACGGCGCACCGCTCCAAAACTGATTCCCTTGAGGTAATTCTTTACCAGCACAGGCTACATCGGATTCGGAACCTATCCTCCTCCTGTGCCGGCCGGAAAATCATACGACCGATCGGTCGAATTGTTCAGCCGCAACAAAGGACCTGGTGCTTGCCTAGCTAACCCGAGCGAGAAACCACACCTTTTTTTACATCTGTGAGTCTCAGGTAGGCCCAGTGAACTTCGACTGTGTAGCAGGAGTGCCATCAGCACTCGGATGAACTGGACGTAACAACAAGAGCATCACAAAACATACAAGCCGGTAATCAGACAATCTCGTGTTGGGGTGAAAGATTTTAAGCGTCATAGATCGCGGAATATGATCCAATCAGATCGCACTAGGGGTTAGAGGGAATGTACTTGCTTAAGGTCACGAGAGGGACGAGAAGATGGAAAACGATGGAGCAATCGCACTGTATTAAGTACGTATTAGTCGATAACTTGAGTCTTTTTCATATATACTTTTTATTAGTTAGTTATTATCGCATAAATACCTTAGAGGGGGAGGGGCATGCATCGTTCACGTCCGCCGTCAACCAGCGAGATAAACCCAATGCTCGATGGACGGGTGAGGCAATTTGAATGTTGGTAAAATCAATAGGCGCTGTTTTGTTGGGCGTTCAGTAACGGCTTCATATGAGGTGACCTCAGCTACATTTCAAATTGAGTCATTTTAAAAACGGTAGCGGGAGGAAAACGGCTAGTCCGCCTGGACTATTCTCCCGATTGGTTTTGTGCAACTCGTCTCTGCTTCCTTTGAGATGATTGGTTTTCTCCCTCTTGGTTTGTCTTGATGGAGAAATTTCGTTGATTGTGTAACAAATTGAGCTTACGTGCACATCAAAGCACTTGCACTATTCAAGAACTGAGTCATCGAATTTATGTGCCCCTCCAATAAGTTACCTCTCGGCTTAAATTATATGCCAAAATCTCTTCGATGTTTCATCCCTTTTGGGCATGGTGTCACTAAAAGACGTTTATTCAACGAGCCGTACACCTCAAGGTCAACTTGTATGTTTCTTGGAATATATTTTCAGTTGGTTCAGTTCAGCTCAGGTTTCATAACCATTAACCATGCACTTTCCTGCGCCGGTTTTGGTTGTTGTTTTTTGGTGCCTCATTTCGATAAAGGAGCAGGATGAAGATTGGAATGTTGAAGGTAAACTCAAGTGGAAGATAGAGAATTCATATAGAATGGTATTAGGGGAATAATGAGTGGATGCACGAGCGCCACTGTTTGCGACACCCAGCCATATCACTGTGTCTCTAACTATCGGTGATCATCATCCGAGGTATCAGGGATAATGCGTGAGTAATTTGTAGCCAAATAATTCATTAACTTATTACAATTAGAATATTCTCATTACTTGGCTTATTTACACTAAATCAAAAGAGATGAGAAATTTAGAATAAGTGTGTTCAGCTTGATAATCACTCTAATGAAACAGGACTCATTCATTGGAAAGAATGAATTTCCATGATTCCTTGCATGAAATATTTCCCAAATCCGAGCATTAACTTTCGAACTACTACAAATTGTATCGTGGCACTCAATGTCACGCGAATTCAAACGGTGATAGTGTAGTGAAACCACGGGCGCAGCCATTTTGAATTTACTGAGTCGTGTGCATGTCTCGTTGGACCCATTTGTTTCATGGTTGCTTTTTGTATTTTTCCTGTCTTGCGGGTGACTGGAATCCCTCTTCCACGGGGAACCTACTATGAGGAGTGTGTCCTACTTGTGCATTGAGGGCGTCAGTTAGTGGCCAGGGATTGTTCCGCTTTTTGGAACGACGCTAGTGTTGCAATATCTCGGACTGCCCGGAGTCAACCTCCTACTGGTGTGTTTCGATTGGATTCAGATATGGGGTCGGTCCCTGTATATTACAATAGAAGAGAACCAAGACCATAGAAGTAAGAGATAGAGTCAGGAATAAATACACCTTACCCATAGCCATCAATATGACAAAATAACAGTGATGTTGCACGAGCTTGGTCAACATCTCTATATAACCAACCGACTCTCGTGGAAGTCAACAACGTTCCGGAATCCCCTTCCAGTGACTATGGAGGGAACTACCAACGCTGCTCTTAAGTGGTGTCTGCATGAGCACCTCAAAAGGCTACGAAGGGATAACCACATGTGATCGGACCTTCGACCAAGTGGTATCCTGCCATACACTACGAGACTGCACCTCATCGCATATGCATTGCGAATTTGGCAGCGATCAGTGAAGTTCGCGTCTCTGTATTTCGCTGTACGATGATGATGACCTTGACTTCGTGCGATGACTTGCGTGCCTCCATGACCCTGCCGGAAAGGAGGTTCAGCCTCAGTTTCGGAGTTAACGCAACTCGGTGTGGGAGGAGGAACAAATTTCAACTTAATAGCGTGAATCGGTGATTATATCGATTTATAAGAATGGTGACAGGTGACAGGAAAACCACAGAGGAATTAGTTTGATCAACGTTGCCTCTAAACTTCTCGCTGGTATTATGCTCCGTCGATTGTCTGCCGCATGTGAAGAGTGCACCCGTGAGAACCAGGCTGGTTTTAGACCTGGTCGAGGTTGTATCAGCCACAGCTTCACTTTTCCTCACCCTCTGGAGCACCGACATACTTTTCGTAGACCCACCATCTCTGTTTTCCTAGATCTGAAAGTGGCTTTCGACTCAGTCGACCGCATTAAACTCTGGTCCCTGAAGGGTGTACGCGAGAAGCTTCTTTCAATATTACGATCCCTTCATACTAATGGCCGAAATCAAGTCCGGGCTTACGGCACTTTTTCACTCGAGTTCACCACAGAAAGTGATGTACGTTAGGTTTGCTCTTTCTCTCCTTCAGTATTTAATTTTGTTATAGAGTTGATTATGGAAACAGCCCTATCCTCGTACGAGGGTAGTGGTACCGATTTACTCCCAGGTGGCAGGCTGTCTGATATAGAGTACGCAGACGACATTGTGCTACTATGTGAGGATTCAGGTAAGTTGCAAGCTTTTTTGGATACCTTGAGTGCCAGCGTAGCCATGTTCGGTATGCGTTTTGCACCTCCAAAGTGAAAAATGTTACAATGAGACTGGGTTGGTCCAGCACTCGACCTCACTCTACCTGGGAAGTAGACAAGCTTGCTATCTGGGCAGCCGCATCTCACATGGCGGACGCATCACAAATGAAGAATCGGAGCGCATACAAAAGGCTCGGTTGGTATTTGCCACCTTTAGACGCCGTCGCTACATTCCGCTGTCTGTGAAGCGTCGAGTGTATGCCGCTGCAGATCGGCCAGTTATGCTAGGCCATTAGGAAAATAGGATAAAGATGAACTGTCGTTGTTCGAACACTGCTGTCTACACAGTATAGCATGAATCTGGTGGGGCAGCCAGACGAGTAATGCTGAGGTTATGCGCAGAGTTTTGAGTAACCGTGGTCGGCCTCCATAGATCACTTTGTTTGGGACGTGTTACGCATGTCACCAAATAGGTTACCACGGCGAGCGATGTTTGCCGAGGCAGGTAGTGGGTGGAGGAAAGCCAAGGGTGGTCAAGCTAAGACCTGATACGAGTGTATGAAATCCCTAACCAGGGGACTGGATCACACAGGTCCTGTTAGGCTCCCTGGCTGGGGATCTCAGGATGGTCGTAACCGATGGTTAAAGACACTGAGTGACATGGCTGAGTGTCGTAAACAGTGGCTTTTGTGCATCTTCTCAGTTTCTCTGTATCATTATTCCACTGAACTTTTCAATCTTCTGTTCGATTCTACGTTCAATCTTTACTGTCTTTCTCTTAATGTTCATCCAAATGGACAGCCAAAAGACAGCAACCAAAACCGGCGCAGGAATATGCGTGGTTAATGGTTTTTCAAACTGAAACGGATCCTGCCCTCAAGACTGAAGACCTCGAGGGCACGCTAAACATACTACTTATAAATATGAGGAGTAACCTAAAAACACTGCAACCGCGAATCACTTCGGACATAGGCTAGTTTAATATCGTGTACATTAACACTACAGGTGTTTCATGGATATTTCTGTGGTTAGTCAACGGAAGCTGTGCAAATGTATTTCATGGCATCTCTCGTAATGAACGATCTCGCTGTCCTGAAAATTGATTGTTAAATTGTCTATTCGTTAAAAGAAGTGCGAACGTTATCTTCACACAGTGAATATATTCGGGTTTCAACCAAATCGGACGATGGACAAGACAAGCTTGTACAGAATATTGATTATTCTACTGCAGACACTAGCTATTTTTCACCTTTTTGCGTGCTACTGCCTTTTGGCAACCGTCAGTACGATACATCTTCTTCTTGCTTACTTTCGAAAATTGGTAGAGATCAGCGAAGTTTGCTCTACTTTATTGCGCTTGTAAGATAATGTTAATTAGGCAGATGGGAAGAGATGTAAAAATTTTGCGAAGCCACTTTGAAACATTCCACCTAAGAGGAGACATATATCCCATTCTTAGCCCTTGACGGGGTTAGATTAGCCCACATTTTCTGATCATTTTGTGCACTTACCTCATTCACTTTATTGTACGCGCTCATCAATACCTGGCGTTTCCGTTTGTCCAGATCATCAATGACCGCTTGGATTTTTCGTTTATCGGCCAACACAATTTCCTGTCTTTTGACCAACTCGGCGTATTGTTCCTCCGCATTTCCCAGCATATTCATTGCACGCATATTCACGGTTCTGCTAAGCCGATCACGACGTTCCCGTAAAGCTTGAATACGGTTACGTGCTTCCGTCGGATTACGACTGGTGAAACAGTACGCGCCGTTCTCAACACCAAAGTGTTGACGTTCCTCCGCTATCCACGGATGTGTTTCCAGCAAACGAGCAATCTGGATAGAATGGGTTGNGAGTTTGTGAAAAGTAGATGCGATGTGGAACAGCGTGTTACAATTCTGGTAACTGTAAAAAACTGGGGAGCTCAGTTACAGATGTCACAGATTCTTGGGAGACTGACTTTATGTCCCTCTGAGAACCAGTGCCACAGAGATTCACACAACTATATATGAAGGGTGATTGCGAAATGGTATTGGTCAGAGAAAGAAAGGACAGTAGATTTTTTCTCAATAGTCACTCCTATGAATGGGCTTGTATGAAGAGTGAAAGATAAGGTAACTGCTTTACCCTTCTCTCAGGTAACAAAACAGTTGTTATGTGAATGCAGTGAAAGGTTTTAAAATGTACCTCGCCTTTCAACATAAATCCTGGTTTGGTTTTAGGCAATACGATTTACGTTGCTACAATATGTTGGCAACTAAGTAAAATAGCTAACCGGGTATCATAGGATCATCATTGGCAGCAACCAGACCAAACCATTTGATAGGTTAGTCACACTATTGATCGGGTAACGTGTGTCTGGTGGTGAGGGGGGAAAGACAGTATCAGATGATCCTGAAGGTCAATTCGTTGGCTAGTTTGTAGGTGCATTCATGCGTCTGTACTTATAAAGCACTATCGCAACACTCGACCACGAAATTTACTGTTGTGAATCCCGGCTCAGTTTGTAAAACTGGCTCCCGTCCAGTACCGTTGACTGTCTCAAACACGTCAACTATAGGCTGTCCGCAGAACATCTCATTGCTTTGTCTGTGATGCAGTCCACGCATGGAAGCACCCATACGTGCACGGATCGGAGAGAAACTGTGCGTATGCGATTGCACCCAACAGAGTTTGGTTCAGGCTATCCAGAAATCCACGATCTGTACATTTTCACTAATGACTTTGTCTGCAGTGATTTCACTGAGAATTCGACTTGAAACGTTTGAGAATCAGATTATTTGGTGTACCTGATGTACCGGGTGAGTAGAACTCCTATTGCAATGATAGTGGCTGAAAGACGAGTGCAGCCAATCAGGAATGGCATGAAAACTTCCTAAAATGAGTGGGAGTGAGCATTTTGTTTACAGCTCAGTGTATCCGATGGAAAAATGAACAGAAACAGATCAGTTGCAATCAGATTATTCCGCAAACCTTTAGCTCTTTCTAGTGTTCTGATCGCCGCGTCATACGCGCTCTCTCTCATCACTTATCCATTCCCTAATGGAAGAATAACACGCAGCACAAAAGTATTGGAACACATTCTCCGTGGAAGGTTTTAAGACTCAGTAAGTTTGATGGTGGTTAAAACAATCTAGGATTGAAAAGATCGGGGCAGATAGATAGTGTAATTCTGTGACAAAATTGTCCACATTCATAGAGCAAAAACAAAAAAATGAGATGAAAATGATAGTCCACAGAACACTCTTCAGCATAATTAGAATACAGGAACCAATGCACTATGATAAGAAGGGTGGGGAATAAGAAGGGCAACTTGTGCACGTGCATCAAAAATACCTTATTTCCAGCTTCTTCACTCTCTTTGGTCTGCACTTCCAATTGGTGACTCAATTTTTCAATTTGAGCGGTGGTCTGATGAACCGATTGGACCAAATGATTACCCTGTTTCTCAGCGGCTGCCAGTGCTTTCACCATTTCGTCGATCAAGGCCCGTTGTCGATTGACTGCCTCGCGAGCCTCCTTCAAAGCAGCAGTTGCCGCTTTCGATTCTTGTGCGCATCGATCGGCCTCAGCAGTCGCCTCTTCCAACGCTTTATTCGCCTCTTGAAGTGTGATCTGCACACAAAGGAGACAGGGATCATTAAAATTTGGTTTGTAACTTCTAATCCCATTAGAGTTGAGTTTTGGCATCTTTATTAGTAGTGTAACCGGAAGCATTTGCTCTACTTCAGCAACAACAAAAAGCAAACCACTATTTATTATGCAGTGCGTTAGGATTTAAAGCTTTTTCCGATTTAGTTTGCCGCAATATATCAAGTATGTTGATTTTGCGGGCTACTGTGCTACTCTATCAATTCAGTTACGGAAGGGACTTGATTCAAGGGATTTTAGGTCGAGCCACCGATAAGGCTTCAGGCGTTGCTTCCAATCTAGTATCTCCAGGGAGAAAGACATATTTAGTCGGTTGAACCAAATAACTTCTGAATGGAGAACCTACATTCACGGTATTCATAACACGCAAGCGCTCAATCGATACGGCGATTTGGCCTGCCTCATTTCAGATACCTGGTGTATCTGAAATTCTCCATTTTCTGTTTGACTCTACTTTCGACTCTCCTATCGTTCGTCCAAATGGGTAGCCAAAAGACAACCAAAACAGGTGCACGAAAGAGTATGGTTAATGGTTGTCCAAATTGAACATAAAACTGAGATACCTGGCGCGGAGTTTAATGAACATTATTAAACCGTAGCCAGATCTTGTTCCGGAAACGGAAGCTAAACCCTACAAACTTGAAATCACGGCTAGCCAATTTCCTACGAGGAAATCCAAGCAGAGCACTATTCTTCCTAACTTTACGCATGATAGGTATCTTTGGAGCGCTTGCGGATAAGAAGAATAAACCGGGATCTCGAAATCGAATTCACCCACTGGGATAGATAGAACCTTAAACAAGGCGCGAGCACCCAGAATGCGAGTTGATTTGGTGAAACGAAGGAGACAAGCCACAGTTCTCTTACCGTAAGCGTATTCAACTCTTTAGCCAAATCCTCTGCTTCCAAACGCAACGTTTCCTTCACAGCGGTCTTCTCACGCAGAGCTGCGGCTGTGGCTTCTACCTGTTTCTTCGCTTGACTCAGCGCGGCCTCCGCCTCACGCTGTTCCCGTTGCCGTTCGGCTGCCGCGTTCTCCATCTTCGCGTGTGCCTGATCTGCTCGTTGACAGGCTCGTTTAAGACGAGCTTGTGCTTCCTTCAAGGCTCCTTCCACTTGACCTGTTGTTCGTTTCGACAAATAAGTGAAGGAGACAAAGGAGTGAATGACAAGCATGATACACAGACGTGCTCCTGAACCATATGAAATGAACAGAAGTTGTCTTTCGTGCACACAGCGACCAATTATTGATGAAATTAGTCTTACACATCAACATTGCTAGATGTGATTAGGTCTCGAGAATTCACTTAATCAGATTGGTGATTTAAAGTTATTTGCACTGTTACTAAAAGATTGCAGCTGTGACAACCGGGTCTTTTAACTTCGCTAAATGAAATGCACTTCGCAAAATGACAAGCTCTCCAAATAAAAGCATTGAGCTGGTTTCGGCTGTCGGGGTATATATTCATGATAAATTTTTACAACCTCCTTAGAAAACATGGAACCTCATCTCAAACGAGAGTTCTCCGATTATTTTTTCTAACACCACAGATTAGGCGAATGTGAGAAGTATTTTCTTCAACCCCACAACTTCGGGTCAAAATGAAGGGGAGAAATAAAACCGGAAGTATTGTGAAGCCAACTGGGTGTGTTTAGCTACTTCTGACTTACTCAGTTCCTGTTTCGTGGCCTCAACATCCGCACGCAGACGATGCTGATCGTTTTGTCTCAGCTNCAGCCTCGAGGATGCCCAACTTATGCCGTGCAGTTTCAAGCGCTTCCCGAAGCTGGGCGATGTCCTGGGCACGCTTTTTTGCCTCCTGTAGATTGGCCTCGCCTCGAGTGACCTCTTCTTCGGCTTTGATGGCCAAATTCTCTAGCTGATGCCAACGAGCTAACCTGGCTAGCAAACTGTCTGCTGCGGGTGCACGACTACCACCGGANCGGATAATGTTCCCTAGAAAATTGGGAACAGAATTTCGTGGTTGTTGATTCAAAAACAGAAAAGAGAAGTATTAATACAAGAGAACACGGGAGAAAATTACAGAGACAGATTATTTTGAATTGACTTGGTATAAATTGAAATAGGACAATCAGGTGCATTTTTAGAACTTTTTCCGTCAGTGAAGGATCCGCAGCATCCGTAATGTGATACCATTGACTTCAGTCGAGAGATATATGATGATCAGCGGCATTCGTAATTTCGTAGGTCTCAATACGATTAGCAAATGGAAAGCTCCGAATGACGAAAGAGAAAAGCTATCGAGTAATTTTACCTGACCGCGCTGCACGTCTTTCCGGTTCCATCGATCTGCTGACGCTCATTTTGCATACATGATCAGTAGCAATCGACAACCACGGATAAACCCATTTGGCATAATTGGATATATCGAAGGCTTTCGATCGTGTCTGGCAAGCAGATCTGCTGGATAAACTTGTCAAGTATGACTTTCTTTGGGAACTTGTGTCCTGGACAGCAAGCCATCTCAAGGGCCGCTGCGTGTTTGGTCGAGTAGATAGGGCCACGTCTGTTTCGGGGCCGGTGAACGCTGATTTTCCTCCAATATTCCCTTCATTTTTTATGTTCATTGATGATCTTTCTCCGACTTCAAATCCTATTCATGCCTCTGCCAATGACGCGACCCTACATTCTCATAACTAATGCTAGGATGTGAGTAACTTTCTTGGAGTGAAACAATTCCTTTAATCTTCAATTGTTTCGGATAAACCATAAGAATCTCCGTATTTTCCGGAACTTCACAATCCGAAAGTATACTGATGATGCGATATCCGATTGTCCTTCTCTGGTCCCGACAGTTTTCTTCTCCGCAAAACTATCTCAAGGAAATTTGCAAGTGGTGTTTGCTTGCTCCCTCGTGCATAGACATTCATTCTATATGACCCAAATCTAAAACCGAACTAACGAAAGGACGCTCACAAGCAGCACTGGACTATAAAACTGGAAAAAATAATGTTATCAAGACAGGAGAAAAGAGTTAATTAATCGTCTCGAAGGAACAAACCTGAAATTTAAACTCATCCACGGTAGATACAATTCACAAATTTGGTACTTATAACAACGACGAAAGAGATGAAGGCAAATCACACACACAGTACCTGCGGATCAAATACGTCTCCCTCAAGTGTAACTGTACGACGTTCCACACCCGGATGGAATGCCACTTTACGGGCCGTATCCAAATCGGGACAGACGAGAACATTGCCAAACACATACTCCATAGCGGGTTGTAATTCCGGTGGATACGTAACCAGGGACAAGGCAGTGGCCACATTCGTCGCACCAACAACCGACTCAGCCCGATTAACCACAGCCGGCGGAATGACGGAACCACGGATTTGATTCAACGGTAACATGGTTACGCGACGTCGAAGTTGACCACGTTCAAGGAGCAATTTACCCGTTCTGTCGCATGAAACCACAATGTTGTGGAGCTGTATCGTATGCAGATGATTTGAAAGGGGAGAGTGAGAATTAGGTTTGAATGCTGTACAAATTACATTTCGATTTCGTTTCGAACAGCTCTGACAACTAATAAGGAATAAAAGTTGTTCAGTGGTAAACGGTAGTGAACAAGGTGAGCGACAGATTTCGATCGATTAAAATTGAATGTCCCATTCAGTATACAATACGATTTGCGAGGTGATAGGACAGTCATTCTTTTTTTGTAGACAAATTTTCTCTACAATGTCTCATAAGACCATCGATTTTAATGAGTTTGTGAGTAGGACAATGATGCATACAACTCACATGCAACGCACAGTTACTTGTGAGTAGTGCTGTGGGATAATTGATATTGTATCTGTGAATTATTTGGTGGGAGGATTTTGAATGCAGTTGACAGACAGCCAACTGTAAATGAACTGACTAACAATCACTGAAGACGACATATGAACAAGCAAGAATTGGCAATTCGGTTCAGTCCGGTTGAGTTGGTTGGTACAGTGGTAACACACATTTCGGAGTTCAAAACCCAAATAGGACGGTGGCTATGCACTATTGGTGAGCTCTAAGAAAAACGAAACTTGAATCCAGAGCTTCCGAGTGTGAGTGACTGGCAGAACTGAGGACTGTGAGTGAAGGTGTAAAATAATTGATGATCACCTACGAGTACACTGGGATGAAAATTGTTTATACTCAGGAGTGGGCGATTGCATTCCAAGTCAAATCAAACCATGTGCTTTATGCACCTCAAAAGATGAATTATCAGCAGCTAGATAGTCAAAGTAGAACCAATTAAGCAAGTACAAGTACATCAGAAAGCAAGAAAAGAACAAAACAATTCACTATATGAATGAGTTCGGTTCGGAAGCGATGCGTTCTGGGTTACCACGAAATGGGGCAAGATAAGGCAAAACAGAAGAGCGGTATGTGGTTTCCGGAGCAAGTATACAGTTATAGTGAAATCAAGTGCAATAATAAAACGCACACTGGATAAAATCTACGGAAACGGATGCGAAGGTTTGTTCTTTATTTTGTAGGTAACCTTAGTTTTCAGTTTCAGTTTTTACAATCATTAACCGTGCATTTTCATGCGCCGGTTGCCACTGTTTGTATGGTTTCAAACGACGAAGTGACCGAGAATTTCACGAGGAATTCCATTGCCTCTAGGCAAATGTGTTACGGATCTGGAGGGCAGCTTCCAGTCCTTCTGGAGCATTCCTTGGAGAATGAAAAGGGACACGTACAACCAAGTGAGTAAAATGCAAACAATAAAAAAGCACGGATCAGGAAGTCAGGGACGTCTAAAACTTTCAAGTGTCGAATACAAAACTATAATTTTCTAACCTTTTCGAACACAAAAATAACCCGGACAGACCAACATAAATTGCGTCTAATTATCACACTAAGATACCTTATATTTACGGATTGGTTAACGTTGTTACCTCGTACGTTTACTGTGGATTCAAGCCGATTTGCATAAGGGTAACCTGTGAACAGTGAGAACAGGATGTCTCCACAGTTAGAGGGATAAAGATGTAAGTTGCGTCCAGCTGACCACTCAGCAAAGTTAGAAAGGTCAAGTTGAAGAGTGAAAGTGACAGAAGCATCCGGATGGCAGATCTTGACAACAACATCACCAGTGTACTAGATTAGCCGAGCATTTTGAACATTGAGCATAGATGACATATAAGCGGAAAAGAAAAATGGGGATAGGATGGTGGTATTTTGTGGTGCATCTAGCGTATAGATTAAACCGCATTATCGACGCACGCGGTTTACAAGGAATTTGAGCATTCCAAAAGTGCAATAAAGCATTCTCCACTACTACCACTATCAGAAACCGACATCCGTGAAGACATACCCCATTGAATTCTCTTTGGTTTTCAAAGTGGACCACCTTGTGCGGGCCAACACATTCTCTCAATATTTTGGTACAGAATTTATCAATTTACGAAGGGACATTTTCTTGATGAAAACACGGTTGTCTGCAGAATTTATCGTCCGAACAAAACGCAGTGGGATTTTTTGAAGAGTCCTCATTCAAGACACAGAGTATCGTCCAGAACACCCAACTTCGTCTTTAATGGGATGTAAACGTGACTGACATCGTAAACGAAACTGAGGTTCGTTGTGAAAACCATGCCAAAATTAGAAAAAACCGTCAGGGTCATTCAAATAAAACTTGATCTCATCGCCTAAGACTCGACAATCCATCCATGTGACCTATAACTTTGCTCATCCTGAGTGCTCATGTACGTCCGGTGTCAACCGTAAACATCTTATCAACTTTCGGAAATGAAGTGGTAGTGTGCATTGTCTTTTGTTGCATTCTCATTTTCTCCGAGGCCTTCAGTGGTGATGCAATAGAGCACTGATTTCAAAATAATAAAAATGATAATAATCGCAAAGACTGCTCGTGTGTGCATTTCGATACCGCCAAACATCCCTCTATTCTATCAAATCGTTCTTTCCGAGTCAGTCTTGACAGAAGCTTATTTATTGCGGCCTCGTAAACGTGGTCTTCTTGCAGTTGCCCACGACTGCTCCCGTTCGAGACCGGACCGAATAACTGATCGCTTTGTCGGTCAGATAACACGACTTCTCACGTGTAATGACCGGTTTTAGAGTAGGCACTGCATATGAGTTCACGAGATATTCGGTAGACGGGGTGAAGTCAGAGATGTAAGTTACTTGTCCGATCGCTCGAAACCAGGAGCGGTGTTCGTCAAAGGTGCCCTGTTTCGCCGTTCCTGTTCAAATTCGTCGAAGACGAAGTACTGGAGAACGCATTTACTGGTCTCCAAAATGTTGGTATTGAAGGGGTGGCTGGAGAAAAGCTGTGCGATTTAGAATAGGCTTATCACATCGTTTGTCTATTCGAATGTATGGAGGAGGATGAGCAAAGCGCTCTTGACAGACTTTCAAGTTCTTTAACTTTATTTCGTATGGGCTGTACACTTTCAAAGTGCAAAGTGATGCCGCAAGACTGTTGTCTACCTTGGAGCCGATGCTTGATGGTTTAGAACTACCTATAGTGGAATGTTTCTCCTACTTAGGTAGCTGCGTGACGAATGACGGTAGCGCAGTCAATGGAGTGACCGCCTGTATTTCCAAGGCTCGAGCAGCTTGCGCAGGAATGAAACACCTTTGGTGCACACGCGATGTTTCATTGAAACTCAAAGGTGATGTACACTGCGCCAGTGTGCGGTTAGTTCCGCGGTTGCTAGACCCTAAATTTGCGCGTGGAAGATATTCGTCGTCTAGAAGTGTTCGACCGCCAATGTTTACGTAGTTTGGTGCGGGTCGGATGGATCGAGCTTGTAAGCAACTCTGAGGTAAGGTGTTGCGTATTTGGTAATGATTCGATGGAGAATTCGTTGTCCCATCGAACTCAGACTAGTCGGCTTCGCTGGTTAGGACACGTAATGCGCATGCCCAACTAGTGTCTACTGCAACGCATTATTCGCAAGAAGAATTGCACAGAGCCATTAGATAGAATAAGTGCCTCTCGTCTTCCAGGTTGGGGTCCGAAAGACTCTGTGACTGGTTGGTTGGAGACACTAAAAGATATGGCGACTAATCGACAGCAGTGGCGTTCTTGTTGTCATTTCTTACCAGGCCAGAATGCTTGAAAAGGTATGTATTCATACTTAGATTGTGTACTTTGTGTGTTGACCATAGAGGTCACTTTATTTGCTTCCTTCAAATTAGGCTCAATCCCTTTCTATCCTGTGCTTTATCACTTGATTTATTTACATTGGCTTGGCAGCGATCAGATCGCCTCACCGTATCTAGCTGTACGATGATGATGATGACGATTTGAATTTAGAAGTACATTGGAGCCCCTTTCACGAAAGGCTGTCACTGAGCAGCGCAAGGTTGTCTATTGTGGTAGGAACTATTTCGACCACGAGTAATTGAGTGACCATTGGTTATTGTGCACCTAATTTTGAATTATTCGTTCCGGTTTTCATCCATCAGTAAACCAACTAAAAAAACGCTTTGATAATCGATTGTCACGTCTGTTAGTTAGCTCGCGGAATACGGCAACACGGCGAATTGGAAACTAAAAGACCAGGCGGTAATTCTATTATTTCGAGTGCTACATGGAGATTTATATTTCCGTTGCAAACCTCTAAAAATATACATATATATATATATATACATATATTGATTTGAATGACTATCCTTCGGAAGTCACCTTCACACATAATCCTCAGTTCATCAATTCAACCATACACTCAGAACCACTGTACTCGAGTTTCGTTCTTATTAGAGCTTATCAGTAGCGCATATGCACCGTCCCGTCCGGGATTTGAACTCCGGACCCATCGCGTGAAAGGCGTGTGTTACCACTGTGTCAACCAGCTCATGCCATGGCTGAACCAAATTGCCAATTCATGTTTGTTCAGGTGTTGTCTTCAGTGATAGTCGGTCAGTTCATTTGGCCCGACAGTAAACGAAGGCAGACACAGATGACAACCTGGTAACTCCAATGAACTCGAGCATGAGAAAAGCAAATAAGTAAACTATTTAACGGAAATAAATGCACGAACCTTGGGACCGGCGGCGACTTCAAGTGCGGTTGCGTACTTCAAATCTTTGACCTGAATCAGCTTGGCCACTGGACCGTAGACTCGACGCCGATCGAAATTTGGTTCCGGTTGGGTGTAATCAAACTGTAGGTGTGGAAATTGTGTGGCAGCGGAATTCGCCTGATGACGTGCTTCCCGAGCTTCTTTGACTAGGGTTAACTGACGTTCTGTAGAGAAGAGTTACAAATAAAAACGTAACATATATTAACTATGAATTTTCTGTCTCCGTGATAAAATCTGAACACAGACAATCACAAATAAAAACAATCCACACTTATTCCTCTGACCCTGTCTATAGATTATATATATAGATGAGTGTAAGCTAAAAAATAGTTGGACAGAATAAATTGTAGGATAGTGCGCGCGAAATTCATTCTTATTGGAGGCTAAAACAAGAAATATGGGGTCACGGAAATCCTAGATTGGATAGCAAATACACATTGATCTTACAGTAGATCGCCGTGCCTAAACCCACTTCTAAATGTACACGAAGTCGACTCATATACGCGTGGCACATAGTTGCACACAGGTACAAATAGTGAAATACAGAACCGATAACATAAAAGCGAACTCTAAAAGCCACTACCTACCACTTATGGTCCCCTCGTTGCCCACAGCTTTGTCATCAGACTCAGCTCGAGAAAGTCGTTGAGTCAGACGTTCAATCTCCTCAGAAAGGCGTTGTTGTTCAATCTCCTCTTTCGACTTTCCTCCGTCTGCACTCAGCCTGCCGAACACTTTGGCCACCGCGGCTTCTTGTTTGGTCAATTCACCACGCAAGTGTTTTTGTCGCATTTCCAATTGACGAAGTTCCGTTTGCGCAGAACACTTTTCCCCGTCAGCCATTCGAGCTTGTTCGGCAAGACTGGCAGCCACGCCATCTTCGCCACTGGACAAACCAGAATTAGCCGCCTACACGTGAATGGGCGAATAAATGGAAGTAATCAAAAGATGAATGAGTTTTGACTAATAACGATAATGATACTAAGAACTTATATCTGTCGTTTTTACTCGATACAAAACAGATGTGCCAGAAACCTTCAGGCAGAGAATGTAGCAACTTAAACGGGGATAGGGAATAGAAGCCAGATGGTTAAAGGTCATAGGTGGGATTCGAGCACTTGAATTATAGATTGATCCCATAGGGACACTTTCCGCAATGGATCAGGCGTGTTTGTACGCGAACCAATAGGAAGGGCAACTATACAGACAAGATTCCTGACTATACGGCGATGCAAATCGATAACTGGAGTTGTATGAGTCCGAGTTAGTGGCTTCAATGAATTAGGTGAAATATTAAATCGGATGACAGAAAACTGGTGAATGGAAGCACTTTTCAATGCATTGCACAACATATCCCATATCCTCGGTGGTTTATGTTGAAGTATGACTAACTGGGGATCGGTCCACAAAAAGCTCTCGATCCACCGAGAGGAGGCGAGACCGAACGACTGCTGGCCCGAGGAAGCGCTTCTTAAAGTATCTGCTAGGTAGTCGTTACATGCCATCTGCTTGTAGAGATCATGTCTATAACTAAGGTGAGAGGTGAAAAGCCAATATCTGGGGCTCCAACAGAATTGACAATCCACCGGAAGCTATTTCACCAAAGGGAGATGGCAGCGCATGATTCCAAAGTTCCCATGGTGGTTGTATGA